GGAAAGCAGATGTAGAAATATCTGCCATTCATCCAATCCTTTGGCAGATACCCCTTTAGGGTTTAATAGAACAGATCAGGATTCATAGAAGAGATGGACAAATGATTACAGCCCCATTTCCTCCTGCAGCTCCTACCAATGTGAATTTATGTGCATCAGTTATTCCCACTTATTCCTCCATTCCATATAAACAATTCTACATCATAGCTGCAACCCACAGCAGCACCAGAGGTTTCAGGCTAGAATGCAGTCAATAAATCACTGTTGTTTTATAGAAGCCTGCCAGGTATAGATCAAAATCAAGGTGACACATCTTCTCTAAAGAACGTGCTTCGGTTATGATGGCTGCAAGATATTTTTCTCATTCTTTTCCTGCTCCTTCCCCCTTTCCTGGTATTTCTTGGCAGTAAGATTCTCTGAAGGTGGAAAATGAGCTTTCAGGCGCATTTTATATGCAACTGAAAATATGGTAGGATTTCATCAATGTATTTCAAGAGAGAGAGATTTCATGATGGTTATATAGATTATATTTCTACACTGGACCAGGCAGTGTCTATTAAGGGCCAAGGAGTCTTTTAGTTTTATGGAAGAATTAGAGAATATATCCTCAAATATTATTTTTGGGTGGGAACGATGTAGCTCCCTCCAGGTCCTCACATCCTTTTCCAAAAAAAGGTAAAGGTTTTCCCTGTCCAGTTGTGTATGACTCTAGTGGGCACACTTCATCTCCATTTCTCAATGGAGGGAGCCAGCATTGTCCAAAGATGCTTCATATGGTCAGCATGACTATACGCAGAGGTAAACAGAATGCTGATATCTTCCTACCAAAGTGGTACCTATTTATCTACTTGCATTTTCATGCTTTCAAACTGCTAGGTAGGCAGGAGCTAGGACAAGTAATGGGAGCCCACCCCATCGGGCATTGCTCAGGTCTCGAACCTGGGCTGTTAGCTTTCTAGCTAACAAGCTCAGCATCTTTAACCACTGAGCCATCGTGCCCCCTTATTCCCAAGTAGCCAGAATCATTCAAAGCAAAATGCCAATGGAGTTTTCTAAAAGGAAGACTCTTAAGAGAATTCTCTTAAGAAAGGTTCTGCCAATACAATGGATGCAGAGTAGCTCTGATCAGATGCAGATTTTATTTATTTGATCAATTGATTGCCTGTTTTTCATTCAGGAGATCAAGACACTATACACATGGTACTCCTTCCTAATTTTTCTAGTCACCTCCCTGAGAGTTTGAGATTGAGAGAGATATTAATCCACAGTCATCAGTGAGCTTCCCTAGTTTAAGGTTGGAGAAGAATCTGTGTGTACAGATTGTCCCCAACTTATGACCATAATTTCTGTTGCTAAGCGAGACAGTTGTTAAGTGAGTCTTGCTCCATTTTAGGATCTTTCTTGACACAACTGTTAAGTTAGTAGCACAGCTGTTAAGCAAATCTGACTTCCCCATTGAGTTTGCTTGTCAGAAGGTCACAAAAGGGGATCAAATGATCCCAGGATATTGCAGCTGTCATAAATGCATGCCAGTTGCCAAGTGTCCAAATTTTGATCACGTCTCCACGGAGATGCTGCATTGATGGCAAGTGTGAAAAACAGTCATAAATCACTTTTTTCAGTGCCGTTGTAACTTCAAACTGTCACTAAGTGAATGGATGTAAGTTGAGGACCATCTGTATTTATTTTAAATGTGTTTATAAGATTCTCATATCATCATTTCAAACTTGCCAGGGATACTTGATCAGCACATGTATTTGAGCCATGATTTTGTGGCTCCGGGATGAACCACTGAACTCTCATAACTGTTTATTCTAAGAGTTATTGAAGTGGTCCTCCTCCAGAACAAGCTAAGATCATTGCTGAAACCTCCAGAATGGCTCCATTTTGAATTGAGATTTCAAGTAGATTATTTTAATCTCAGAAACTTTCCCAATGCAACTCTTGCAAACCCCTATAGGCAGTGGTGGGATTCAAATAGGTAAACAACCAGTTCTTTGTGTGGATGCCACTTCCGGAAGTCCATTCTGGGCCTGGGTAACAAAAAATTAGCTACCGGTTCTGCTGAATTGATGCGAACTGACTGAATCCCACCACTGCCTGTAAGAATACAGGTGAGTGAGGTCCCTGTCTTTACACTGGTGGCCTCCATCTGTAGAATTCTATCCCCAGACCTTTTGGGCAGCATTCTTTTAATTTTTCTTTTTAATTTTCTCAGTCTTTTCATTAATCATATTATTGCTGCAACAACAGCCTTTATTTATAAAGTCAAAAGACAAAAGACAAATAACTTTATTATGGTCATAGACCAGCAATAGACATCACTTTTTACAATATATTAAAAAAATAATACTGACATTAATAGTAAATAATAACATCCCTGTTAAGAAAATACATGTTCTCAAAATGTTAGGGTCATTCCCTAGTTTACGTGAGTGGAAAGCCAATAAGGGTGTGAGTAAATATAATGTTCCAAAAATTATTAGAGATATCTCCAAAAAATTGGCACAAGTTGACAGCTATAAATCTGTAACCAATTTTTTTCTTGTGGACATTGCAGCAACACAGTATTTTGCCACTGCATGCGTGATAGAAGGGTTTGAGTCCTGGAGGAGAAAGCCTACATAAAAATTGTCTGCCTTCCCTGGCAATTTCTCTAGTACTCATAAAGTCCACTGAGCAGTATGATGGCCTAGAAGAGGACCTCTCACCTCACAGGAGGCTATGAGTTCGATCCTAGGTAGTGGCAGATATTTCTCTCTGCTGTGAACTCTGCATAGACATCAGGAAGGGTATCAGGCCAGTAAACACTCAGCTCCATTCAGTTGACCCGACTCCACCACGATGCAAGGGAGTACAGGGTCATTAAAAGAAAAAAAAATGTAGTGCACTGATCCCAAGAACATTGGCATTAAATGAAAGGCTGGTTTTAAAAAGGAAAAATGCCAACAGATCAAAGACAAACATTTGAAAAATCCTTTTCCTTTTTTTTTCTCTAACTCAACAATTATCTCCATTCTGAATTTTTCGCTCTCTCTAACACGGCGGTTCTCAACCTATGGGTCGCGACCCCATTTTGGGTCGATCACCCATTTTTCGGGGGTCGCCAAAGGCGGCGATCCGCCATTTTTCACGGTGCCGTGCACGCGTGCCACGCATGGGGCGGTGCCGCGCATGCGCGTCACGCATGGGGGCGCCGCCATGCATACGTGCCGCGTGTGGGGGCGTCGCGCATGCACGTTGCGCATGGGGCGGTGCCACGCATGCGTGCCACGCGTGGGGGCCCCGCCCCCAAGCGCGCGGCCCGGCGCATGCGCAGAACGTTTGTGTGACGGGGGTCGCCGTCACACAAACGTTGAGAAGCTCTGCTCTAACAAGTGCAGTGATGTTGGGCATTTGCAATTGTCAAACCATGACAGTTATGCATAGTTTGTAACTTCTCTTGAAACTTCACGCACATATTCTCAGCCATGGATTTATTCAGAAGGTCAGTTTTCCAGTGTAACTGGAGAGATTTATGAAAGCAAAATAGTGGCCAAATAGTGAAATAAATAAATAAAGCAGTAGAAAAAATAATGAATTTTTCACAAAGGATTTGGTCCTGCGTTGGCTCCTCTAATGGAGCTTTCTCAGATCAAGGATCAGCAAAGGTGTTGCAGGCTGCCTAAAGAACTTGAGCATCAGCAGTAAAAACAGCAGGAGTCTCTGCCTCCTTACAGAAATATAGTCAACATAAAAAGGAATCCTGGAACAGACTGAAAATCAGCTGTAAAAAACAGAATCTCTTGCTCAAGGAAAAGAATGTTTTCAGGAACAGGAAGGATGGATTTCAGCACCATTTAAACAATGACACAGCACAGGTGAAACTTCTTTTGCTGCTTACATCCTTCAGAAATTCAGATTACACTAAAAGGACAGTTTCCCTTTTTTAATCAATTGATTAAAAGCACAAGGAAACGAGCCTGGGTGGCAAATACTTCATGAGGATCTGATAGCACTAGATGGGAGATAGCATAGAAGAAAGGAGAAATGGATAACAGTGAAGAAGCAAGCAAGGGTATTTGGTGAAGAAGCTAGCAAGGGTATTTATGTAAGTTGGGTATCAGGCTGTCAAAGAAACAAGGAAAAATGAAACTAGAATATATGTCTAGAATGTATCCTAGGAAATGGCCATCATTTATGATAGCTGACCATTTCTCTGCAAGCAGAAAAGATAATTCAGAATTTATAGCTAATCAGAACTTAAACTCTTCATGTTCTCCTTCAGCATGGCCCTCTCTGATAAGTTGGCTTGAATTTCTTCTTATCTCTTGCCTTCATATTATCTGTTGGAGCCATGTGTCTGACAGAGAAGTGGACCATTCTCATAACAAATCAAGGAAGTGTGATTGGGCAACTTGAATACTTGGTGGGTGGAAGTTATGGAAAGCTATTGGTTAACTAACCAGATTTTTAGTGCTGGAAAACTAGAATTGGATTTGCTTCTTCAGTGCTGAGATGTGCATTCAATAAAATTTATTTTTTCTAGCACCCCCAAAGCCATGAGGATTCTTTAATTTTGTTTTCGCTAGATGGACAGTTGACATCATGTTTACATTCTTGGCATTCCTGTGCTCCCCTTCAGATTAAATCCACCAAACTAGATTGTAATTTTCTAGCCCAGGGGTAGGCAACCTTGGCTCTTTTATGACTCGTGGACTTCAACTCCCAGAATTCCTGAGCCAGTATGGCTCAGCTTGGAAACCTCTCCCTTTCCCCTCAGCATGGCTGGCTCAGGAATTCTGGGAGTTGAAGTCCATGAGTCATAAAAGAGCTCAGGAGAAGGTTCAGGAGAAGCATTTTGTCTGTCACTTGACTTCAATCAAAACATGAACCATAGTTCTGTTCCATTTTACCTTATGTTGTTTTGCTTATTTAGTAAGAATGAATGTATTTCTTGCAAAGAATGAGCCCCGGTGTCAGTTGCAATTCATGTCATTCTCCTTATCTCCTCTCTCTAGATACACCAAGTTGAAAACAGCCACAAACATCTATATCTTCAACTTAGCCCTGGCAGATGCCTTGGCCACCAGTACTCTGCCCTTCCAGAGCGCTAAGTATCTGATGGAGACCTGGCCTTTTGGGGAACTGCTTTGCAAAGTCGTCCTCTCCATTGACTACTACAACATGTTCACCAGCATCTTCACCCTCACGATGATGAGCGTAGACCGATACATTGCTGTCTGCCATCCAGTCAGGGCCTTGGATTTCCGGACCCCAGCTAAAGCAAAGTTAATCAATGTTTGCATCTGGGTTCTCTCCTCTGTGGTCGGAGTGCCTATCATGGTCATGGCTGTCACTAAATCTCAAGGCAAGTGGGCTGCCATTTAATACCAATGACTTCCCTGAAGACCACCACTCAGTCTGGGCAGCAATCAGACTGTGGTTCCCACTGCTAAATTAATACAGACCTTTGGGGTACAAGGAGATTTTCTGTCCCGTAGTAGCGAAGGATCTTATATTCAGTTTACTTCTCAGGGGTGATTCCATTATGTAGGAAACAGGTTTACCTATATAACTCTTAGGAAAGAATGTTCATATTTCAGTAACAAGAGAGGCTTGTAAATAATAGACCTGCATATAGTGGCTTGGAAATAATATAAAGAATTCTATATTCATTCATTAATCCTGTTCACACCAATATTGAATTGGGTTGTGGGGTAGGGATAAGAAAATCATACAAACTCCAAATCCCAGTCGATTAATCCAGACAGAAAAAGTAGCTACAAAGAGACCCAGGCTTATTTGGGGCTAATCAAATACCTCCCTGATCCTTTACAAGCTATTAAATTGATAAATAGCTGTCTCTGAAACTTTGTCAACTGAGACAAAGTCCTAGAGAAGCCCTGTGAAAACAAAGTTGTTCTAGGCACTCTATCTCTATGGTGTCCTTTGTACCGTTTCCCACTCTGCATCCATAAGGAGGAATGAAAAAGAGTGGAAATGATGAGAGGGTGCACAATTCCCTTCTCAACCATCTGTAGCCTATTTTAAAAAAGAAGGAATCTGGAAGGTTGCAGTGGCCTTCCAACCTCTTTTGTAATGGCTGAGAAGACTAACAACATGATTGTTGTTTAGCTGGCCTACTCATCATGAATTGGATCCTGCCAGCAATAAAGGTCAACTAATTGACTAGGAATATACTCCCAATGTTGGGAAAGATGGAAGGCAGAAGGAGAAGGGGAAGACAGACAAAGAGATGGCTAGATAGTGTCATCAACACAATGAACATGAATTTGGGCAAACTGTGGGAGACAGTGGAGGATGGGGGTGCTGGTGGGCTATGGTCCATGCGGTCATGAAGTCTTAGACACAATTTAGCATCTGAACAATAGCAACATACTCCCAAACACCCAGTAACATAGCCACTAGTCATTGCTGATGGGGTTGTTGTTGAAAGGGGCTCCATCATGCGGATATATTTTCCTATGTCCAAGAGAATAACAATACTGTTGTCCACTGAGCTATGGTCCTGTGTTTGTTCATCTCTCATCTTTGTACTCTTCCTCCTTTTATGTAGGTGGCATTACAATCTGTCTCCTTCAGTTTCCTGAACCTCAGATTTACTGGGATACTGTTACCAAGATCTGTGTTTTTATCTTTGCTTTCTTGGTTCCCATCTTCGTGATCACCATCTGCTATGGGCTCATGATTCTCCGCTTGAAGAATGTCCGTCTCCTCTCAGGTTCCAAGGAGAAGGACCGCAATCTGCGCCGTATTACACGCATGGTGCTCATTGTGGTAGCTGCCTTCATCATCTGCTGGACTCCCATCCAGATCTTTGTCATTGTTTGGACCCTGGTGGGCATTGACAAGAAGAACCCATATGTCATGGCCAGCCTGCATTTTTGTATTGCCCTGGGCTATACTAACAGCAGCCTCAACCCTGTCCTTTATGCTTTCTTGGATGAAAACTTCAAGAGATGTTTTAGGGAGTTCTGCCTCCCGTTCCGATCACGGATGGAGCAGAGCAGCTTTAGCCGGGCCCGGAACAGCACCAGAGAACGTGTTTCTACCTGCACTCCATCAGAAGTTCTTCATAAGTCAGCATGACTAGACATGGACAGCCACAAAAGAGGCTTCAGCAGAGGAGACAGAGGAGAAGAGCTGCACTCTGAAGTGACCCAGGTCAGTACTACAGAATTCTAGCCTGAACTGATACAGGAGCCATTCAGGAAAAGACACCACCACAAATCTTGTGAACTTTTCAGAGTAATTTAGGGCATCACTCTCCAAGCTGATGCACTGGGACTGCAGTTCTCCAAATTCCTATTAAGCACTTCCATCATATGTGGAGGACCACATATTTGGGGAAAGACATGCTAAGTTTCCCCCCCTCCCCCCATTTGACCTATGACAAGCCAAATTTTTGTTCTGCAAAAAGGTGTCAGTTTGTCAAGTGTTATATGGCTTCAAATTTCTTAGAAAATCTTTAATTTTTTGAATGAAGTCTCAAAGAGGCACTAAATGGATGCTGTATATGCGTGCCCATTCATGCCCATATGTACATACACATTTTTGGATTTCTGAAATCAATGCCTTCAAATGTTTTGAAGAACTCATGGCATCTGTTTCTGCTTCACTGAAGATATTTTTACTTTAGCTTTACCAATTAGGGTCTGGTTGGTGGCTTCTGCCTTCCTTCTCTCACCAGTTATATGCATTTGACAAACAAGTGTCATAACCCTCTTTAATAGTTCTATGCTTCAGTGGAAGCCTCCCAAAGTAGTTAAATGGGATATTTTAAAAAGCCATACATTTTTAAACCAAACTTTCTAATGGCTACAAAACTTAGTTATCTATTTGGAGAAAGAAAGAATAGCCTTTGATTTGTAAAGTTGGAATACTCAAATCATTGCCTCTGAAGAAACCAGGAAAGCAATGAACCCAAGATACAAAATTCAACCATTAGTGACTTAATCTCTGTGTAATCAGTGTTATTTGGCAGTGCAGGTTAGATTCTTGTGGATGTCATGCCTTGTTCAGTGGTGTTCCTTCTATATTGTTTCTCAAAAGGCCAGGAAAAGAAGGAAACCATGGTTCCATAACAAGAGTTGGTTTCCTGGTTCCAGAGAACTATGAACTCTAGATGAAAAGAGATTGAACATTGGAAACTGACAAAAACATTTCATCCCGGCTTTCCCCATGATCCATGGCAAGCAACCTCCTTGCAAAGTCTCATTTTCCTCAATGTTCCACCATCACACAGCAACATAAATAGTGGAGACTATAAATTCAAACCACAGCACAAAATCCTTGTAAATACGTCTTGGGCATTTTCCTGACAGTTCTGTTATATGTACCTCCAAAAGATCTGCAACATTTTGGTACATCTGCTCAGGAACTCTATCATGGAACAAGGATGTAACTGATTGTTCTTCACTGTAGATATGAACCTGTACCAGTACTCCACTGTTACTCAGAAGGCAGCTCCTTGGGCTTTAGGCAACTGAGATTGCATGAGGCAGAGCTGAAAGATTGCAGATGAACTTGTGTTCTGCTTGACAACTTCCTGGAAGCATCTTGTTGGCCTCTGTGAAAACAAAATGCTGGACTGCATAGGCATTTAATCTGGTCCAGCAGGCATGAGTTACATTCTTAGATTGCTTAAGTGTTGGGTGTTCAGCCACTTCTGTATTGCTATTATTGCCTTACCCTCGTAGAAGCTGCAAATCAGGTGGCCCTTTGCATTCCCCATACAATCTCTAATCCATTTAGGGCTTGTTGTCTGGAACAGGGGTTGATGTGAAATCATTTGTCAAGTTAAGGAAGATTCAAATTTCAGTGGCATAGTGGGCTCAATAAAATGCAGTCAATGAATTATGCGATATTTCCTTTTTATTAGGTTGATCAAGAACCGGCTTTAGCATTTTTCTTTCAGTTCTCATTCAGTTTGATGTAAATGGCTTCAAAACAAACCTTTATACAATTTGCTTTAAAAATTATTTTTAAAAAAGTTGTAGAAACTCATGGATGGAATGCATTGTTTTAGCATATAGAATTGGTTTTTGATCTATGACCACAATGGGGATTAGAAATTCTGTTGCTAAGTAAGGTGATTGTTAAGCAAGTCACATCCAATTTTACTTTTTTTGCCATAATTATGACAGAGTTTAGGGTAAGGACTTTGCAAAACGCTAAGAAATAACTCACTTTGTGTAATTTTTATCCCATTCAAAACTGCTTGTTAACACTGGCCTCAGCTGCCTTCAGTGGCATTAAGGTACCAGTCTGACTGCATTGGGGTGTTATCCTGCTCATAGAACGTTTTCAGACAATGATAATCTCTAAGATAACTTGTGATAGTAACAGCCAGGGCTTTTTTTCTCATAGAACGTCCAGAACGGAGTTCCGGCACCTTTTTTGGAGGGAACCTTGTAGGATAGGCAAGGCGGGTTGTATGATGTGTGTGAGTTCCGGCACCTTTTTTTTTTTTTTTAGAAAAAAAGCACTGGTAACCGTGGACAGTAATAGTAACAGAGACTGATTATAGCCCTAACCTGATATGACATGATAGCAGTGTTCCAATACTTGAGGGGCTGCCCCAAAGAAGAAGGGGGTCAACTTCTTCTCCAAAGCGCCTGAAGGCAGAAAAAGAAGCAATGGATGGAAATTAATCAAGGAGAGGACCAACCTAGAACTAAGGAAAAGTTTCTGGACAGTTAGAACAATTAATCAGTGGAATGGCTTTCCTTTGGAGGTTGTGGTTGAGATTGGACAACAATTTGTTTGAAATACTGTAGTAGAGGGTCTCCTACCTGAGCAAGGCTTTGGACTAGAAGATCTCTTAGGTCCCTTCCAATTCTGTTATCCTGTTAAACGGCTTTATAGAATACAGAATTGATTTACATGCATAAAAAGCAGATTGTTGTTTTCCATGCAGTGCTTCATCCATTTAGAATGTATTGCTTGGAATAGAATTCAATGTGGAAAGACAAGGAATGGCTTTGCCAACATCTTGGGAAAAAAATAACAATGGCAAAATACTTCTGTATTGTTGCCCAGAAAACTTTATGGTTGTGTCCATAGGGATACATGGAATCAATTTTAACTCAAAGATATTATCATTTTTAAGGGCAGTGTGCATCTATTATTCAGGTCTACAGGAAAGATTTTAGGCTAAAATTTTGTAGAACAACACTGGGGAGGGCAAAATGTTAGAGGACAAAGAATCAGCCAATACCCATATTTCCTTTTTTGCTGCTACCACTATACAATTTACCCCTCTCCAGTCTCCTGCTGTTCTGAGTGGTTTGATGTTCCCCAGAGGAAAGAGAATGCATGTTCCACCAAAACTGTGAAGTTCAGGAAGAAGGACTGATGCTTGGGATTGATCAGGTCATGATAAAGAAATATTTATGAATGACTTTAAATTTTCAGGGCCAGAAGAAATGTGTATGAGAGTTCTGAGGAAAACTGATGATGATCTGGCCAAGGTTTTATGAATAATCGTTGAGCAATCCTAGAAATTGATTCGCCAGAGGAAATGGGGGCAAATCTCTCTGACATTGAACCCTGGAGAGATTCTAAAGCAGATCATAAAGCAATTGATACATAAGCACTTCGGAAACAAGGCACTAATCATTACCAGAAGTCACCATGGATTTGCCCTGCAGGACTAACTTGAAAGATGCAGAGCAGGATGATTAAGCAAAAATTGTATTCAAAGAATATTCATGAACAATTCTTCCACCAGTGAGGAAGATAACAAGTAAGGGCACTACTATTCAAGTTTCACTCCAATCTCTGTTATTTTCAATTTTTTTAAAAATAATTTGCACAAGGAGGTGAAGGCAAAATTTGCAGTGACGCCAAACTGGAAGAAGAGAAACAATATTCAAGAGATTGTGAAGGGTTAGAAAAATGGGATGAACAAAAAATATGCATTTAAAAAGCAGAAACAAAGGCACAGGAGTGAACAGGCATAGAGGAGTGGACCGGTGATAGAGTCTTTCTTTTTACAAAAATTAGGGACGTAGAAGGAATGGGGGAGAATAATAGATTTACATTGCAGAAAGACAGAGTCAGATGAATATTAGGAAAGATGGATGGACGGTAGCAGTTCAGAACTAGAATCAAGCACACAGAAAGGTTACTCATTGATTGTATTTGAATAGAGGCTAGACCAAAAGTGTTCATTATGGGGGGAAAAAAATCAAGAAGGTTCTACAGCCACATTTTCAACCTTTTTGACAACATCCCCTTCCCCAATGTGGAAGCTCCCAATTTTATTTGGATTCCTATACTGAGTAAGGGGTTGAAGTAGAAGTCTTAATTGTCCCCTTTAACTGAATGAATGAATTTAACTGAATAAATGGAGAGAATTAATGGATGGAGTGAGAGTGAATGAGCAAACGAACTGAATGGTTGAATGAAGTGAATGAGTAAATTAATTAATTTAATATTTAATTAATTAATGCTTGAGGGGTGGGAAGAGCCTGCTACCAGCTGCCAACTTGGCCAGTGTGTTGGTATCAGCAAAACCCCTCACCTTCAAAATGCGGGAATGAACCAATTTCTCTGTTCTTTAAGTGAGATGGCCAAATTGGGCAGGAGAGTTATTTTGTCTCAGCCTTGGTTAAGATGTTCTTAGACTTGTGATCTAATTCAGAATATCACACCAACAAGATCTATGTGTAAGATATCCCTGTTAGGCTTTTAAACTGAAATACTTGGATGGGATTAGTGCAGTGTTTTTCAACCTCAGCAATTTTAAGCTGTGTGGCTGGGGAATTCTAGGATTCTATTGATAACTGGGGCCCTGTGGCCAATCTTACCGATCTCCAAAAGGTTAAGCAGGATCAAAGTTATTGAATGCCTGGTTAGGAGACTACATGGACATATCAATGTGTGCTGGCTTAGGAAGTAAATAAACCTTTCCTGAGGAAGGTAGCATGAAGCCATTTCTGCAGCATTGCCAAGAAAAATCAGGTAGTTTTAACACAAGTTGTTCAGTTCATTTGAAGAGGCCTCTATCTTTTAAAGAAATATTGTTCCCTTGAGTGACTGCATAAATTATTCATTTCACTCAAGAAATAAAATCAGGTCTGACCTTTCACAAAAACAGGAAAGAAAAGGCATTCTTGAAATCTCATCAAAGGGAAGAAAAAACAAATCCTTTCTCCATATTTTTCTATAGCCTCTCTTCAGTTTCAATCCAATTAAACCTGAAAATTGACTCAGGAAATCCACAACCAGAAAATCTCCAGGTAGCTTGCATGCAGATACCTAGATGTTATCTTTCTTATCGCCCTGGTATTTTTTAAATCATCAGCTCAATGGCCATATGTTGATAATGGTTGGGTTGGTACAATGCAAAATGCATAAGCTTTGAGAAATGAATGTTCTTATAATGTGTCAACCCATTTTACTAGGCATATGACAGAGCCCTCCTGCCAAGCTTATCTGGCCTCAGAAACTAAACTGGATTGCTTGGTACTTGGACAGGGATGAGCAAAAAATTCCAGCATTGTGCAAATTTAGAATTCTAGAAGAAACTGGAACAATTTCAGTTCTTTTGCCAGGAAAACTTCAGTAGTTTTTCTATAGGAATTTTGTACCACTTGAAGAAGTTTTTAACTGAGATTTTATGTTACTGTTTGGGGGGGGGGGGTTGGTGGGCAAAGATCTGGATATAGA